GGGGGGGGGGGCGGGGACAACTGACAGCTTCATCCTTTGTCCACTCACAGCCTAACATCACCTTGGACCTTGGTGCCTGGCAGGCACTTCACCATTCAACACTTTTCAGGAAAGTTTTGGATTTCCTCCAGGTGTGTGCACCAAGGTGCATGTGCCTGTGTTAAGGCAGAGGAGGGAGTGGTGTGGTCAGTTATCAAAGCTGTAAAAGGCCCTCTGTGTTCATTTCTCCTCTTCTTAAGGCTAACCCCTGCTGATTTAAGAATGCCAAGGGAGCTTTCTTCTTCCAGAGGTTAAGGAAGAGCCAAGTCCTGCTGTTAGACCTCAAAATCAATCTAGAAATTTATATCATCCCAAACTCCCCTCATTTTATCCTACATTCTCCTTAATTTTCCGAGTTATTACCTATATTCTCCTCTCACCTTCTCTCTGAAACTCTTCCCCAGCGCAGACTTTTTTTTGTTATGTATATATTCTTCTCAATCTTTATATGTCAACTTTTTAAGAATCAAAGGAAAAATACACCTATCTTTTGTCAAATACTCAGGTTTTGCAAGTAAGAAGTATAGCTTTCAGACTATATTGCTTTTATTACAACTTTAAAAATTATCTTGAAATTTAGATTCTAATTTGCTCTCCCTTCAAGGCAGTAAGAAAAAAAGAAAATTCTTGGTTTAAAATTCACCAGTATCATCTAGGTATGTAATCACAGATTATTTTAATTGTCGGTGAGTTCCTTACTAAAGAATTCATGAAAGAAGAAAATATGAAATTCTACATCCTTTAAATAGCCAGATTTCTGCACATCTTTTTTCCCCTCTGAATTTTCAGCAACCCTAACAAAGACCACATAGCAAAACTAGAAGCAAAATCCCAAGCTTCAAAATTTCTTTGTGCCCTTTATAGTTTCTTTTCAACCCACGGAATGGCAGGAAAGTAGACAATATTGTTTTCATCACTATCTGGGTTTTGATTGTCTCAACATGTATATAAATTATGTAACTTTTTTGTTGATCTTATCGGATTTTAGCTAATGTGACCTTTGTTATTTGATTATTCTTATTGTCCATAAAGTTCACATTAAAGAAAAATTTAAATTTCGCAATTTTATCATTATGTATAATTTTAAAGATTATTAATTTTAAAACGTTAAAAATAAGCAAGCCTACAGTAAAGTATATGTTTAACTGTAGACAGGAAAAAGTGCGGGGAGGCGGGGGAGATACCTCACGGAGGGGAAGAGGTTTGGAGCGGTACCGGCCATTGGCTATTTGTGTAGTCGAGAGTCAAAATTGTTAAATTTAAGGAAGTGCAAAACGTTGTTGGTGCGTTCTGTTACGTTATTGACCAAAAACGAAAGGGAGAGGAAGGAGGTATTGTCTACGCTGAACCACTGAACTAAAAGAAACTGCGGAAACCAACCCCGGTGCCTGCCAAGCAACGACTAGCTTCCAAGACTGCACCCCGCTCAGCACTACCCCACTGGATAAATGGTTTAACCTCGTCACGTTTAGTATTACTATCTAAAAGGCACTCCCCCATTCCTAAACGCCGTCTGAGACTCGGCCTCAGAATGCCTCGTCTATCTACATTCAAAACAGTGCTAGCAGCTGTTTTCCCGCAGCAAAACAAACCCGGAGCAAGCTTTTGTTTATTTTGGTGGCGCTCAGTAGTCAGCGTCCTGGGGGCGGAGACCCGAAGACGGCGCCCCCGAATGGCTGCACCGGGTCTCCAGGGCTCGGCCCGCTTGCCAGTCAGCCCCGCCGACCAGGCGGCTCGACGCACGGACTCGCCTCCCCTACAGGCGCCGCACCGGGCTGGGAGGGGGCTGACGGAGCGTGCGGCGTCACAAAGCGAAGCCAGAACGTATGGGTTTCCGCCGAGGTTCGGGACGCCCTGGGCGAACCTCACTAGCGGCCCTCCCTCGCGGGGCGGGAGGCGCCAAGCGCCCGTCTCCTGACTCCCTCCCTTCCCCCGCGGACTACCCCAGAGCGGCTTGGCGCGGCCGCGGCATCGCCGCGGCCCGACGCCGCAAAGCGTCCTGGGAGAGCTGGCTCGCACCGGAAGGACGCGCGAGCGCGCGGCGGCGGCGAGGTTATAAAAGGGAAGGAGCCGGCGGCAGGCGGAAGTGGGCGGTTCAGCTGCTCTGGACGCTGTTGTTTGGTGTGTGGGCCTCCTGAGGGGCGTTCTCTGGAGGGCAGCCGGTGCAGGCCGCAGTGACAGGGCCGTTCGCCCCTGCGCACCCTGTCTCTTACCCGGTGCAGCGTCTGCTGGTGCCCTCCGCGTCCTGCAGGCCCAACATGGCGCAGGAGGTGTCGGAGTACCTGAGCCAGAACCCGCGGGTGGCCGCCTGGGTGGAGGCGCTGCGCTGCGAGGGCGAGACTGACAAACACTGGCGCCACCGCCGGGAGTTTTTGCTCCGCAACGCCGGGGACCTGGCCCCCGCGGGTGGCGCTGCCTCCGCTAACCCGGACGAAGCTGCCGACGCCGAGAGCGGGACCCGCAGTCGGCAGCTGCAGCAGCTCATCTCCTTTTCCATGGCCTGGGCAAACCACGTCTTCCTTGGGTGCCGGTGAGTAAGGAAGCGCCCCTGACCGGCTTTCGGTTTTCTCTCCCACCTCCGAACTGGGACCTGGGACCTCGGGTCTTGAGCCCTTCGTAGTACGGCCTCGGTGGGGAGGGGAAGTTGTGAAGCGCGGGAATTCACGGGACCGGCTGCCCTCTAAGGGTGAGAAGGGCGTCTCGGCAAGCCGCGGACACAATTAACAGTCTGTGGGTGTCCCCGTTGTAGGGGGACTGTTGGTGGGGTTGTTAGTGTAAAGCTGACAACGTTCTCGTAGTTGAAAGCAAGGTTTAAAGGTTAGTAAGGAGAGATCCGCCCACCAGATCCTAAGGCATTTGTTTATGGGCTTCCAGGAAACTAAAAGTTCTTGGCGGTTGGTACACTTTCTTGATTGCAACCAGGAAATGCAGTTCCTGTGGCTTTTTTTTTCCTTTTGCACTCCACAAGTAGTAGTTTAAAGAAAAACACTTTTTAAAAGTGACTTTTCTTTCTTTTTCAGGTACCCTCAAAAAGTTATGGATAAAATTCTTAGTATGGCTGAAGGCATCAAAGTGACAGATGCTCCAATCCATACAACAAGAGACGAACTGGTTGCCAAGGTGAAGAAAAGAGGGATATCGAGTAGCAATGGTTAGCAGATCATAGATGTGAACATACATAGGAGTTTAGAAATTAAGTTTGATATAATTAGGAATTGTCATTACTAATTTTTTTAACAAGTTGGAATTTATATAATGTTATTAAATTGGAATGTTAACCTAAATTATATGTCTGTGTGTTTTAGGCTCTGAATTTGATAGTTTATTTTGCTGTAGAGTTTGAAGTGTCCCATGTTGTCTGATGCTGTTAATATTTTTAATATTAGAAATTAATGGTTATTCAACACTGTTTTAATAAGTTATTTCACACTTTTTAAAGGAACTACTAGTTCTGAAATATTTTTACGTTGTGCCTTTATATAATTGAATATTTGTCTTGTCAGCTGATATATATGATGTATTTTCTAGTTAAATATCTGTTTTTTCCTTCTTTTTAGAAGGGGTAGAAGAGCTATCCAAAAAACGAATCATAGAAGGAAAAAACAACTCTGCAGTTGAGCGAGATCTTGCAAAAATTTCTGCCAAAACAGAATGTACATCAGCTCAGCCAGAAAACAGTTCTACATGTTCGGGGTCATGCACCAAATCAGAGAGTAGTGGAAACTCCACTCGGAGCTCTGGCATCTCTGGTCAGAATAGCTCTATGAGTGAAGGAGATCGATCTGTTTCCAGCCAAAGCAGCAGCAGCATTTCCTCTCAGGTAACAACGGCAGGATCTGGAAAAGCTTCTGAATCAGAAGCTCCAGATAAGCATGGTTCAGCATCATTTGTTTCTTCGTTGTTGAAATCCAGTGTGAATAGTCACGTGACCCAGTCCACTGATTCCAGACAACAAAGTGGTTCACCTAAAAAGAGTGCTTTGGAAGGTTCTTCAGTCTCTACTTCTCAGAGCAGCTCAGAGATTGAGGTGCCCTTGTTGGGTACTTCTGGAAGCTCAGAAGTAGAGTTGCCATTATTGTCTTCTAAACCTAGTTCAGAGACAGCTTCAAGTGGGTTAACTTCCAAAACTAGTTCAGAGGCAAGTATTTCATCATCAGTTTCTAAAAACAGTTCCTCATCAGGCACATCATTACTAACTCCCAAGAGCAGCTCAACAAATACATCACTGCTCACTTCCAAAAGCACTTCCCAGGTAGCTGCATCACTGTTAGCTTCCAAGAGCAGCTCCCAGACCAGTGGATCTATGGTTTCCAAAAGTACTTCCTTAGCAAGTGTGTCCCAGCTAGCTTCTAAGAGTAGTTCTCAGAGTAGCACCTCACAGTTGCCTTCTAAAAGTACTTCACAGTCAAGTGAGAGTTCTATCAAGTTCTCTTGTTGCAAATTAACCAATGAAGATGTGAAACAGAAGCAACCTTTCTTCAATAGACTGTATAAAACAGTGGCATGGAAATTAGTAGCTGTTGGTGGCTTTAGTCCCAATGTGAATCATGGAGAGCTCCTAAATGCAGCTATTGAGGCTCTGAAAGCAACACTGGATGTGTTTTTTGTCCCACTAAAAGAACTGGCAGATCTGCCTCAAAATAAGAGCTCTCAAGAAAGTATTGTTTGTGAATTGAGGTGCAAGTCAGTGTACTTGGGTACTGGCTGTGGAAAAAGCAAAGAAAATGCAAAAGCAGTTGCATCAAGAGAAGCATTGAAGTTATTTCTTAAGAAAAAGGTGGTGGTAAAAATATGTAAAAGGAAATACAGAGGCAGTGAGATAGAAGATCTAGTACTCCTTGATGAAGAATCAAGACCTGTAAACTTACCTCCAGCTTTAAAACATCCTCAAGAATTACTATAATCTATAATATGTTCAAAATATCACTGCATACAGTATCTGGTATTTGAAGAGAAAACTGGCTTACTTTTGTACAATATAAAACAGGCTTTCACAAATTTTGTATTGCTTTTTTCCAGTTTTGCAGAAAAATTTACATTCTAATTCTCTTCACATAAGTAGAAGTTGTAAATAATTTATGAATGACAGTACATATTAAAAAGGTATGCATTAACAGCATACCAGTATGCTGTTTTATTTGCTGAAGAAAATACTGTCTTCTATTTTTAATGATGTATTAGGTACGATGTGTAGTTCTGTAGAGTCTTAAAATTTTTGTACTACTTTAAATTTGGTGAAAATGTATTAAGTTGTCTACCATGCTTTTTTTTTTAGCTAAATAAATCACATCAAAGAAAAGGGGACCACAGTATTTGAATGTCTGAAAGTCTGTGAAACTTAAGGTTTTAAGAATGTTGCCCATAGTGTTGAACATGTCTGTAAGAGAATAAAAGAAAAAATAGTTGCCTCAGACTATTTTTATGAGAAGTTGTAAGCATTTTTTAGATATAAAGCAGTATAATGTACTTATTGTTATTTTATTCTGAAGTTGTTTAAAATTCACCATGATTTTGACCGCTGCTGATTCTTTAAGCGGGTTAATTTATGTTTTGAGGTAAAATACAATTTACACTTTTTCTTAAAGACATAAATGTGGGTTTCTATATTAAGCATATTTTGTGACTACTATTAACAGATTGATTTGTTTAGATATTAAATGCTTTAAGCTATTTTACCTTTTCAAGAAGTTGTGTTTTTTTTTCTCCTTTAGGTCAGAACCAAGTCTTACAATAGGCTTCCCACTGTTAGTCATAGTAAATTACAACCCAGTGATTTTTAAAGTGATATACAACTTTTTATGAACAGGGAAGCTACAATTTTCAAATCTCAGAAAAATACTGAAAATTGATACCATGTTCAGTTTAATGATCCTGTTTAACTGAATTATATCTCTTAGTAATGAAGTAGAACTTTACTTGTCTTAGGTGATTCTGATGATATTAATCTATTATGGCATATTCTGTTTTCTTCAAACTGTGGCCTAAGATATTTGATTATCTTTGTGGCCTTCTGGCTTCCTAGATGCTGTTATTAGGTGCTGCGTATTGAGCAGTCACGGTGAAAATGTACAGAGACAAGAAATGACTGTTTATGGGTCAGCTGTATTGAAACAGGAAAATAATCAGGGACATTTTAATTTTTTATCAGATAACATTTTAAAAATGACTCATTTTTGAGGATGTTTCATTGGATACCAGAGCTAAAATCTGTGTTCTATAAATGAGTTACCATTAATACATTGTGGGGAGCAATAACATGAATGTATTTTTAAAGCACTTTTAATTGCTCACTTTCCTTAGTCTTGGAATGTACATTTTGTGAGACAGTGCTTACCAAAAAAGTGAGCCAGAAACTAGAAAGAATAAATGCATTTCTGAAATATATCTAATTAGGTTATTTTGTTAATTTCCTGAAATGTCTTTAAAGTTAATATAAAGGTTATAGATTTTAAATTATAAGTTTTTGATGTTGAAGAAGCTGCCTAGTAGAACAGATGTTTCTCATACAAACATTTGTTATAATCTTATTTCAAAACAAAAATACTCTTATTATAAAAGTTAATCAGAATTTAAAGAACTTGACTTAAGAGGAACATTTTTTCACAGTTCCTCAAAATAGTAGATGCAGAAGAAAATAAAAGCTTTGGGGTCTGTTACTATTGATGTAAAATCTTGGTTCTATCTCTTACTAGATGTGGAACTTCTGGTAAACTTTAAGCCTTACTTCAGCTGTAAAATAGGACTAGTAGCCACCTCATAGAGCTATGAAGATTAATTGAAATGATAGTTTAAAGTACGCAGCATAGTAAAGGCATACCATAGTTTACTTGTGTACACATGTTCTAATTTCCTCATGACTTTACAAGTAGCTATTCTCATTTGACCTATGTTTTCTAATGAAGAAATAAACACGCTTTGGTTAAAAAAATTCTATCAAGCTCATGTCTGGTTTCAGAACCCAAGCCCATAAGTATGTTCATCCTCACCTCTTTCCAAATTTTTTTTTTTTTTTAAAACCATCTCGGAGGGCTGGGGCTGTAGCTCAGTGGTAGAGCACCCATCTCGCATGTGTGACAGGCACTGGATTTGATTCTCAGCACCACATAAAAATAAAGATTAAAAAAAAATAAACTTCAGAATGTAATTTTCTGCCAGTTTAGATCAGTGGTTATAACATCTTCCCAAAGCCCTTTGAAATGAATCTCTTCAGAAGCTCTTTGTTATTAATGCTTCTCCATACTTGCATGTCCTAAATTTTGTCTAGTGAGTCATCCCATAGGGTGCATTTGAAGTTTGAAAAGAAAAATGAATAATTTGCAATCAAATTTAGTGAATAAAGATAGCAATAACAGATTTTTAAATCAGTGAGGTAAGATGGTTGTCCTAAGACAGGTTTTTCTTCCTGCTAAAATCAGGATTTTTTTTTTTTTTTTTTAATGTTAGAATGTTGGCTTTGAGAGCTGGGGCTGTAGCCCAGCGGCAAGAGGGCAGAGCTCTTGCCTAGCATGCGTGAGGCTGGGTTTGATTCTCAGCACCACATAAAAATAAAGGCATTCTGTCCATCTACAAAATAAATAAAAGTTGACTTTGAAATATAGAACTGTATTTGACACTGCTGCCATTAGCCAGGATAATTGTCTAGGGTATGTGTATTATACGGTCTTGGTAATGTATTATCAAAAGCCAGTGCCAATTTTAAGTTGCTTATGAAAGAGACAAAGTTTTCCCTGTCAAGGTCAGCTTTTCTTGGTACAGATTTCTCCTTGCTGTTTGGATTCCCGAGTTAAATAGCAGAAGGTAAACAAAGCAAGCAGCAACTGGGTACCAAGTCAGTACTACAGGTCTTATGCTATTAAAATTTAAGGGGGATTTGCAGGCTTTGTCCTCAAAAATAGTGAAGTTCTAAATTGACCCATTTTCTAGATGTGACAAATCTTTGGATATCAATTTTCACATGATTTTCAAAATTTGTTTTCTGTGGTTTGAAATAAATTCACTTTATACCTTAAACAAAGATAAATTAATATAGGGCTTATAAAATCTTTATATTTGCAGCTGCCCCCCAAGAAAAGTAATACTATAGACTGTTCATATTTCTTTGACATCTCTAACACAACTTTTTGCTATCCAGCTAGAGCAACTTCTTTCCCCTTTTCAGTTTTCCACTGGGGATGTGATTTGCAGGTGGTAAGGTACCCAGCATGCGTGAGGCCCTGGGTTTCAGTACCCATACTCAAAAACAAACCCTTTTCAATTTTCTTTCCTTCCTTAAAAAAACAAGATTATTTGAAAATTAATTTTTAAATTTCTCATTTTCTGTTCCTTTGCAATTTATCAAACAAGAAAAATAGTGTAGTAAAAAAGGAACCAAACTAAATTGACTTTAACCTGGAAGGAAATAAAGAAAACTAACAGTAAACAAAGGATAGATATAAGACTTTATTTTTTTTATTTTTTTTTATTTTTTATAAAAATTAAAGATTTCATGTGCTAGTACTTAAGAAATAATTATAAAAACTCTGATTTTGAAACTGGATAAAGTAAAATCAATCCTTGGAGGACACTGGGTAGCAACCAAAAATAATATAAAATTCAAGCAGTAAGTACACTGAACTTTTTTTTTTTTTAAGAGAGGGAGAGAGAATTTTTTTAAATTTTTTTTTTAATTTTCGGCATGCCAGGCGAGCATGCTACCGCTTCAGCCACATCCCCAGCCCCTACACTGAACTCATTATATTGAAGTGGGAAGCTTGAAAAATATAGAGAGATGCACAAAAAGATGGAATGGAATGGTAAGAATCACTTAATGTTTTTTGGGGGAGGCTAAGGCAGGTGGATGTTATGTTCAAGGCCAGCCTGGGCAACTTAGTGAAACCCTGTTTCAAATTAAAAGGGCTAGGCATGTAGCTCAGTGGTTGGAACACCCTGTGTTCAATTCCCCATACCATTAAAAAAATAAAAAACCCTGAAGGCATCAGGACCTTAAATCCTGAATCACTGAGTTGCACAACACCAGGGGGAGCCATTTGCATGGAATATAATGGATGTAATTTAATTCAGTAGATTGTGGTGCTCTTTGAGTTGTGGAACAGGAAGCCTTTTTGGAAACCCTGATATTGAATAAGTAAAGTTTACCAGAAAAAAAAATGTTGGCTAGCCTCACATGTGTAAGGCCCTGGGTAAATAATTTTAGTTGTTCTATGAAAAAGAGATGGCATATACATCTTAACATACTTCTTGGAGGTAGCATATGCTAACGTTATTTGCTAAAGCTGGGGCACTCTTCATACTTGGTCACAAATCACTTGCCCAACACATTGTTTTACAGGAGGAATTATTTCAAGACAATAGCCTAAAAATCAAATCATATGAGGTAGAGTAATACTGTTTGGGAAGTTATGAATTTTCTATTCATGCACCTTGGGAAAATTCACACACTTTAGGCAGATGATTTATGTCAGCTCAGGTATGTATGAAAACCAAGTGTCTGCTTTGTGATCTTGCATACTGATAGAAAAATGTGCTTTAGTTTATTACTGACCATTCCGTGTAAACTCACCTTTTCTCAGTTTCCCTTTTATCTCTTTCTTTGCCCTGTTGTATTTCTTCGTTGTTAACTTTTGCTGGTATGAGCTAACATAAATGAATGAAGATTTTAAGATTTACAGTTTAAAAAACCATGGAAGAAAACATTTCTGAATTGATATCCTATCAATTTCTGTATGTTGCTGGTTCTAGGAAAATAAATCACTGACCTTTTTGACCTGTATGTCAGCATAAGGCAAAAGGGAAAAGAGTTGAAACACAGGAAATTATATCAGGTCAGCTCAACTCTGTTTCCAATGAAATAAGTCAGAATTTTTTAAGATCTTGGTGGTTTTTAAAATTTAAAATGAAATCCATTCTTATTGTAAGAAAATCTATGCCACCAGCTATTGTTTCCCAGTGGAGTTCTGCCTTGCAGCAAACTAAAATGTCATTGATGGTATATTAGTTTTATACCGCTGCTGTGATAAATTACCACCATTCAGTGGCACACACAATGCAAATCTGTGGATCAGAAGTCCAGTGTGGGTCTCAGCAGGCAAAGGTTTTGGCAGCTCAGTGTCCCTTTCTGGAGGCTCTAAAGGAGAATTTGCTTCCTTGCCTTTTCTAGCTTCTAGAGGCCACTCAAATTCCTTGGCACGTGTCCTCTTGGTCCATCTTCTAGGCCGGCAGCAATGGGTTGAGTTCGTCTCACATCGTGTCATACCTTGATTCTGCTGTCACACGTATTTTTCTGACTCCAACCTGTCTGCCGCCCTCTTCCACTTTTTTTCTGTCTCGCTTATTAGAACCTTTACAATTATAGTTTTCCTATTTCAAGAACAACTGCTTAGCAACTTTAATTCAATCATCTTTAAGCTTAATTCTCTTTTGCTGCTTAATGTAACACATTGACAGGTTCTGAATATTAGGATGTAGATATCTTTGGGGGTCCTTTCTGCCTACCACATACAGATTTGAACTCCCCACCATTACCATCACCTTAGGAGTATTGGCTTTGTAACATCACAAATGACAAGTGTTGACTGCCTTTCTGCTGACCAACACACACACAAATATAAATCCCATGTAAAGTGGTGCAGCTTAAAAATGAATTCTACAATGCTGCTTGATAAATTGCTGTAAGATGCACATTTTT